TGCCTGCTATGAAGTGGCCGTAGGCAATGACGGATGGGTCCACCACATCAATCAACTCAGGAGCTACACCTCATTTGACAGAAGAGAAGATATCCTAACTACGCCCCTTAAATTACTTCTGGACGAGTTCAAACTACCAAAAACAGAGGCTACTCAGCAAGATAACCCTATCACCTGACCAGCAGGCAAATCCTCATGTGGTATGTCTAATAGACAACATGGACATTGGGTCTCTTCGCAGTCTCTGGAACTTATAGATGCTCGCCGGCAAATCCCGGCTGGAAGCGAGCACAATGAAACTCGCAAAGAGCTCCGGGCAAAACTCCGTGCTAGCCTGAAGAGAGACCGCGAATCTTGGTGGTCTCATCTTGCGTCAGAGATGGAAGTGGCCGCTGCCCTTGGCAACCATCGTAAGTTATTCCGTCTGATACGGGAAACGGGCAGCAGGAGACCTGGTGTTAGTGAAACTATACGTGACGAGAGTGGACAGCCTATCCACAATTTGTCAAAACGTCTAGAGCGTTGGGCTGAGCATTTTGAAAAGCAATTTAATCGGCAAGAATTGTTCGATTCGCCGGTCACTGATCGCCCCGCTCCGTGGGCTGTCCCTTTGAATCCACCCTCTCGCTCAGAAGTCGAACGTGAGATCAGACTGTTGAAGTTGAACAAAGCCGCGGGACCAGATGATCTTCCTCCAGCCCTCTTCAAATTCGGAGGCTCTGCTCTTGTTGATGCTTTGCATGAATTACTAGTGAAACTGTTGGAGCAGGAAACTGTCCCAACCGACTGGAGCCGCTTCGTTATTGTTCCCATCTTCCAAGGAGGCTCGCGCTCGGAATGCGGCAACCATAGAGGAATCAGTCTGATCTCCATCGCCTCCAAATTACTCGCGTCCATAATTCTCCACAGATTGACTGGCGCTCGTGAAAGCCAGATTCGTGAGGAGCAAGCCGGGTTTCTTCGGGGTCGTGGCTGCATCGACCACATCTTCACCTTGCGTCAGTTGTTGGAGCACCGTCACACATATTGGCGGCCCACCGTAGTCGTGTTCCTCGACATCAAAGGTGCCTTCGATTCGGTTGATCGATGTGCCCTTTGGAATTGTCTACTCAGGAAAGGGGTGCCCGAGAAATATGTAAATATTATCCAAGCATTATATGAGCGTAGCACGGGCAGAGTAAGGGCTTACAGCAGGCTGTCGCCACTCTTCAATATCTCCAACGGTGTGAGACAAGGATGCCCGCTGTCACCTTTCCTATTCAACTTCGCTATTGACGAAGTCATGGAGATTGCATTTACAGGACATGACTTGGAAGGTGTGGAGCTACTCCCAGGAGAACGACTTCTTGACTTAGAGTATGCAGACGACATTGCCCTCATCTGTGACAGCTCCCAGACGTGTCAAGCCGCGCTGGACAGATTAGCACTGGCTGTCAGTCGCTTCGGGCTTTGCTTTGCACCACCGAAGTGCAAAGCGTTCCTCCAGGATTGGCAGGGTTCGCCCCCTGCGCTGACCCTTGGTGGGGATCAGCTAGAAGTCGTTCAGAAATTCAATTACCTAGGAAGTTGTATCAGCGCCCTTGGGATCGAAGACGAGATCACGAACCGCATAGCGAAAGCTCGAAGTGCTTTTGCTAACCTTCGCCACCTATGGCGACGGCGCGATGTTACTCTCGCCCTGAAGGGTAGAGTGTACAATGCAGCGGTACGTTCGACCTTACTGTACGGTTGCGAAACCTGGCCCCTAAGATCGGCGGACATGAAGAGGCTACTTACGTTCGACCATCGGTGCCTTCGCAGTTTGGCTCACATCTGGTGGGAACACCGCGTGAGTAACGAGCGTGTTCGACGCCTTGTTTACGGCCTAGGAAAAGGGAATGAACCGCTCAGCACCGTCATTTCACTCACCAGGCTCCGATGGCTGGGCCACGTGTTGCGCATGCCAGCCCACCGACTCCCTCGACGTGCGTTGTTTGCTCACCAGGGATGTGGGTGGAAGAAGAGGAGAGATGGCCAAGCGATGACTTGGTCCAGAGGAATGAAGGCCCTCACTTCGGAGCTGGCCTCAGTTGGAGCTTCACGGCTCCCTGGTTGGGGTCCAAAAGACGGTGAACACGTTTGGCTGGATACACTTGCTGACATGGCAAGGAGCCGACCTCAGTGGCGTTCCTGCTGTGAGTTTCTTTGTCCCTCCCCATCCCTTTAGCCTCCCCCTCCATCTACGATCTTATTTCTTAGGGTAAAACGTAATTAAATTTTTGTTTTTGCCTAGTAGCCGGCTAGTAGATTACCGGAACGATGCGTATCCGTTGCTGGTAGCTCAGCTGGCATTCAACTGTCGTATTTATTTTTCCTTTATGTATTGTATGTATGTATTTCCTTTATGTATTGCGGTACAATAGCGGAGGTGTTTTACCATCTCTAGCTGACATGTATAATGATGATAATGATGATGATCACCTGACCAACCTCTCATGCACCTGATTGTCAACCCAAAAGATGGACCGATCATTGCCGACTTCTTGTCACGCCACTCCAGGTCAACACCACGCTAAAATCAAACTTCAAACAGGGAGGTGTTAGGTGAGGTATCTCCTAACAAACGGATCAGTGCACCCGAAGAGGATCAAAGTTCAACCATTTTCCAGAAATCGAGCAACATACTCGCATTGGTTAATCAATGGAATGTTCTCGCAAAATCCAATACTATTATTGGTAAGTAAGGAAGAGAAGAGAACAAAGAACAATCAGGAAGATCGCTATGAACAACTAAATATCGGTACTCTGCGCTCTATAATCTGCAGCCATTTGGCAGCCATTACACTATGTCTACGATTTTGCCTTTTTGTTCGGCCAATTGTGGGCGGACAGGTTTCAGCGAACAGCCAGTCGGAGCGGCCGAGGTGACCTTGGTGACTATAACAGAAACGATAGCCGAAAAGGTGAGCAATTATTTCACTCTCTCACCTCGACTCGGACACTAGGCTGAACGTTGAAGGGCTTGATGCTTCGGGATTGTCGGATGAGATATCGAGCCAACAGAAGACGAAATCAGTTCAACCTGAATCGCATGCAAGGAGACAGATCTAATCATTACAGTCCCTATATGGCCCGTAGCCTAGAGGTAACAAACTTGTCTCGTGATCTTGCGGCGCGGGTTCGAATCCGCGTAGGAGTGGACGTCCTAGCGGTATACTAATCCCGCGTGCGACTGGTGGTGGTCGCACGGCAGCGAAGCGCCGTTACTGCGTACAGCGGACCTATTATTATTATTACTATTATTAGTATTAATACGACAACTGTGGTCGTGTGTTATTCTACCGGAAACCACTGAACTCCCGCCGACAAACTGAGTACATCATGGCTGCCCTACCTTTTCCTTCTTCACATTTGATCAAACCGATCATGAATGATTCCACCCAGTTTTCCACTTATAAACTAGTTTTATTCACTGACCAACTTAGAGTACGTTCCCTTCAGTTGGGACTCAACTGGTATGCAATCACTACTAGATAGGCTGGTGCTTAGTGTAGCGCGCTTGGGTATAGGATTTGCGCCTTAAAGATAGGTTACTGCCACAGCATTTGGTCAGTAGTTGTATCACTTCTGGCGATTTCATCACCGATTGGATCAGCTTACGCTCCTCCCATGCTCTTGTGCTTTTTAAAAGCGTCTATTGTCTATGAGGATGGCATGACATAAGATTATCAACTAAATTAAAGGTTTATGACACTTCCTTGCGACCATTGTTAGTCTACGGTTCCGGTACCTGGCCACTTTTTACTGAGGATATTTTGGGACTGACCATTTTTAACCACCGATGCATGTGCAGCGTTGCTCATGTATGGTGAGGGAAACGAATGTCTAACGCTGCAGTTCGTCTAGCGATTGGAAGTAGCCCTTTGGTACCTTATTGGAGTGCCTGTTAACTAAGTGTTTGTTTGCTTAATCATGTGTTTCGCAAGTGAGCGAGCCGGCTTCCTGTGTCTTTCTTATGCTCCAATACCGTTCCCGATTGAGTGAAGCTCCGAGGTGGTTACTGAATTACCTACCGGAAACGCGTGAACCAACTCACCGAGGGGCACAACCTTGAACTGGTTACATTATTTCTGGTCCATGTACACTGTACTGTAATTTTATTTCGTGCTCTTTCGTTATGCACTATTATTATTCTTATCACTATTATCATGTTGGCGACGTTTGTCAAGATAAGTGGATCCACTGCACCTCGGTGCATGGGCCATAGTTTAGATACTACAACTGAACTGAATCATCTTGCATGGGCCCTGTAGCCGAACTGCACGTTGCCGCTAATCAGGAACCAGTCCAACAATGTAATCTCGGCTTTACAACGCAATGCCACATTAACGTTAGTCAGGCTCTGCGTCTGTTGCGTCTCCAGACAGTCGCAAGTACTACATGCCGCCGTGGTCGATGAGATGATGTTAGCCCAAACACTGTGTCAGGTCTTATAATCGGGTTTCAGAAAAGCAAACGACATTGATAGTGTGGGATTCCGGGATACCTGTCAGACAGACATGGGTCAGGACCGGTTGGACGCTAATGGGGATTCATGGACATCTGCGAAGCCGGTGCTGGAAGTAGGTCCATTGGGGCAGAACTCACAGGTTCCAGTTCCCTGGCCTTATCAGCAACTAGGCAGTTGATGTGTTGGGAGCATATGAACGTCGACAACAGGAGCAGAAAAGTGTAGTATGGTATTACTGGGGTCCAGAGCTTTGTTGTGATAGTTTCTCCAGCTCCCGATCGAATCTGACCGTTTTTGTCTCCTCGCTTAAGTTACATGCAACTGTCTTTAGTTTTTGTTTTTCTTGTAAGTCGAAGTGAAGCATATCTTTTCGTCTACGTCGTTTCTTTCTTATTATACTGTTCGCTATCGTTGAATGACAGAGGTCTTCCCTAGACTATGAACACTGCGCCTCATATATTCTGTTGACTTGCTTTTATTCCCTTTTTTCATTGCTTTGTGCGCCTACTAGGAATGACGCGTGACGATCTCTTCAACACGAATGCGTCCATTGTTGCACAGTTAGTCCAAGCATGCGCTTTGAACTGTCCGAAGGCGATGATATGTATCATCACGAATCCGGTGAACAGCACTGTGCCAATAGCTGCTGAAGTTTTGAAACATTATGGTGTGTTCGACCCGAAACGCCTCTTCGGTGTTACTACCCTTGATGTTGTTCGTTCCAATACTTTCATTGCTGAGGCTAAGGTAAGTTACACTTTATTTCCAGCATAATTCTTCACCTCTCGTATAATTACATCTAACACACTGATTTCTACATTTAGGGCTTAGATGTTCGCAAAGTGTCTTGTCCCGTAATCGGCGGCCATTCTGGCATCACCATCCTACCGGTCTTTTCGCAGTGTTCTCCCTCAGTGTCCTTCCCGCAGGTAACTTCTCACTGTAGTTTTTATTTTCCCTTTTGATTTCATATCAAATATGCCAATAATGCCTCCTATATATCATGATTTTGCAATGTTGTGGTTGTTGGTAGTTCCTTGTCCTATGTGAGGTCTCCTCCCACGTTGCTACCAAATTTTATTCTGGTGTTAGAATCGTAGAGGCTCCAGACCAAAGCAAGCGCAGCAGTTTGTGGCTGCGGCGCGTCATTTGCGTCACTCACTAGCGCAGATTGCAATTCATTTCATATAGGTAAGCATGCATTACAAGTTTGTCAATAACGGTTTGTATTTGCGATAAATCGGAAAACCTCTAGGCTGCGTTGGTTGTTCAAGTTTTGGTTTGTTCTCCGACAACCCATTCAGCGAGATTGCTTACTACGCAGTAAAGCACTGACGAAGCCACTTCGATTGGTCATGTAACGTCGGCAACGAAATTACCCAGCTCGGCGAACAAACCGAAACGCGAACGTTTTTTATTCCTAGAAATTGTAAATTATTATTCCAAGCTTGATAACAACTGGTAACTGAAAGTCTGAATGCTGGTCTGTTTCAAGAGCGCCAGCTCTACCATTCTACCTTTTAATTTTTGTTTCTGTACCGCCACTCGGGCTTTTTTAGTTCACAGCTACCAATTATTAAGCCTATATTGATTTGTTAGTTGTTCGCCCTGGCTTATTTGTTTGCTTGTTTGTAATGCTCCGGATAATACGTTGGTTACACAAGGTTCCTCTTTGTAGAGAAGTGCTTTGACTCTGAAGTGAGGCAGTTGTTTATGTACCTCTGACCCATTGTGCTCCAATGGACAGTCACCTCGGACCCCTTGAGAGCTACTCTTACCAGATTGATCAGTGGCTAGAAGTCGGACGGTCACTCTCCTGGTCCTCCAACATCATCATCATTACACGTTAGTTGGGAAGTGCCTCTATAGTGCCACAATACAAAAGATAAGATGTGTGAGCAATCGAGCTACTATTCATTACCGAATACAATGGAAAGACCAAAAATAAGTAATATAACCTTACGTATCGAGAATGAGACCGTGGTTGGAAGGGGAAGCTAACGTTGTTGAGATCGACAACGAAACTCATAAGACGAACGACATGTCAACAGGTGTGTCCAATGAAACGTGTTCATCGCCCTTCGGATCCCAACCAGGAAATTTAGAGGATCCAACCTAGGCAAACTCCTAAATCTAAGCCAGGACCTTCATTCGTCTTGAGTAAGTCTCGAATTGGCTTCTCTTGCCTTCCTTCCAACCAGATACCTCTTGGACGGATAACTCACGTCGCGGGAGTCGGTGTGCTGGCATGCGCACCATGCGTCCCGACTATTGGGGCCTGGTGCGCGAAGTAATGTTATTGAGCAGTTCATTTACTTTTACTGCACCAAAATCGAGATGCCGAACGCGCTCATTACTCACACAATGTTCTCACAAGACATGGATTAAACTTCGAGGGCAGTGATACTCAAACGCAACTAGCCTTCGCACATTTACAGGGGGGTTGAACGGACGGCTGCATAGTAAACTTTACCCTTCAGAACGAGAGGGATGTCGCGCCGGCGCTGCATTTCGGGACGATTGGCAAAAGCGCCTCGAGCTTTTGCTAAATATGGTTCGCGGCCTCATCTTTTATTCCACTTGCGTCTACTTAGCTGTCTAGATATCAAAATTTCTGGTAAACTTCTAGATGATCACCACCAAAAGTCGGCGCAGGGATGCCAATCTTAGGGCACGACTTTGCATTCCAAGGATTAAAAACATAACCCGGACCAAATTTGCGAATTTGCCCAGTGACGCTTGGTACTTATGGGAGCTGGCACAGATTAGGGCAATGTTGTCTGTGTACTCTAAGTCAATAAGTCGATCACCTGGAAATAACTCTACACCTTTTAGTTCATGCTCACTGAACGCAGTTTCCACAATTTCGTCCATGGCGAAGATAAAGAGAGAAGACAACACCGAGCAATCTTGCTGAAGAAATTGAAGAGCGGCGACAGTTCGTCACAAACCCTCGCTATTCGCGTAAAGCGCTCCTCTGACATTTACATGTTTATCGAGCAGACAGTTCCAGAGGACACATCGATGCATCAATTCGGACGTATTTATGGTGTCAAAGTACACGAGTACGGTAGGTCGCCAATGAATATGGCGGTGTATCAACAGCTTAATATGTACTCCCACTGTCTCGGTTTCAAAAATACCTGGCTTGTTGTTAACGAATATAACTTTCACGGGTACCGGTCACTCAACAGAAAACGACAGAGGCAAGTTACTTAGAGGTAATTGAGATCAAACTGCTCCCCCTATGACTGCCTCATTCTGAAGGGGAAACCACCTTGAAAATCGGGACTATAACGGAGCAACTCCAGTCTGCACTTGTAAGTTGTGCAAATTATACGCGATGGCTGGCAGAAGTCTGTCTCCTCCTGCGGCCATAATTTGGCAGTCTGATCTCACCTTTAACTTCTGCGGATGAAGCCGAATTCAAGGGGACGGCCCTGAAAAATAGGTGATCACTGGCCGATAGAGGAAATGACGACTCTGACTGATTAAGGTGCTTTTCAAAATGTTCGACTCAACGCTCCAAGCGTTTTGACAAGCTGTAGATTGTCTGTCCACTCTCGTCCCATATCTTATGGTTGACACTAAGTCTCCTGCTGTCCGTTTCCCGTATTAGACAGGTTAACCAATTGTAGCAACCATTTCCATATCCGATTCACGGTGTGTCAGCTGTACGCCGTAACGGCGCTTCGCTGCCGCGCGACCACCACCAGTCGCGCGGGCTGAGTATACCGCGAGGACGCCCACCCCTACGGTGGGACCACCAGGCATCGCGGTCTCCTTTCAGGCTAGCACACAACTTTGCCCTGTGGTCTTTGCGAATATCGCTGTGTTTACTTCCAGCCGGAAGGTGTCGGAGAATACGCAGAATTTCCAGGTACTGCATACGTCCAGATTGGTAATTCGGTTTGTCACATGTAGATATGCCTGCTACTAATAAAGTCTGGCGAGTATGCGACAGGTGACCCCCAAATGTGTTCATTGGGCGCTTACTCAACCCGGATGCCAGCGCACTCTTATATGCATTCAGAACATCCGACTTCTCCAGTTGGCTGGTGTCCATGCGCTCACAGCTTCGTTGCGGACCGCCTCCGAAATCTACCCGCAGTTCTGTACATGCAAATGCACGGTCGTAGTCTAAGCTCGTGCTCCACATCGAGCAGTACTTTTGGACACAGCCTCTCCAACGGTGGTTGATCGCATTGTGATCGATTTGCTTCCATGCTTGCTCCGAGGCTGGTGGACGCTATGTCATTCTTCGGTGGGTGTTGTGTCGGAAGTTAGTATTTGCGAGAAATAGACGAGCTTCTTTGCGCAGATGTAGCAGACGCTCACCATTATCATTACGGGAGGCTACAGATGCAGCTCATTAGTGGACAGTTCACCTGTGAGCACTACAGTATCCATGCTTTATAATGATTGAGCGCGTTCAGTTTTGTATCTGTGTTACGGTTTGTGGGCGCGTATGCATCACTGACAAACAGGCACCGTTTGTTACCTTGTGATTTAGCGGCTTTGAACGAGCCCGGCAATCTGACGACGCACATTCGGCTATTGATGGGGATCCAGTCGATCAGAGCAGCTTCAGCCCTGGGACAAAGCGTAATGCTCGGATCGAATTGACCGGTATTTGTTGCAATGTCATCTCCGGACAAACACAAAGTGTAGTGAGTGTCTCATGTGAGAGATCGCAGGGTAAGCACGGAGTTTGACTCTTCAAGATGTTTCAGATAAACATCAGATATCGATTTCTAGATCCTCTATTGTTCAGAGTAGTGCTGCTTGTTATCCAAGCTCCCCGGTTTGGTGGTGTGAAATGGGATAGCGTCTGTTTTCTAAAGCTGGTTGTTCACCATCTCCCGCTACATTGCTTGAGGCCTTGGTGGCGAAAGTTTCGACTAATGGCCCATTCTCCCTACTGCTTAAGGTTATGCACCATGACTATTTTATCAATTAGCTGGTGCGCAGCTTTACCTGGCCGGTTAATCCATCTCATTAGGCGAATCAAATAACCGAAAACACGCTGCTACTGATGCTGCTTTTGTTTTTCACCTGTTTTTCCTATGCCCCTCCCAACATTACTAGTCTTGTCTGTAGCCGGTGGCCCCATTGCCACCGAAACACTTTCATCCGCAACAGCCGTTGCTGTTTCCCCTTGGAGTACCATATTTTGCGCTGTCTATTGCGTATTTATCAATTTTGTCTTGCTGATCTCAGATTTTTGTTTATCTGGATCGTGCTGAAGTCATCAATGTTATCTTGCTCAGCCGACTTTTTGTAACCGTTTCGGGACGCTTCACGAAACCCGCCTTATGTCGCATGCGATCACAAAGTCAGAAACCAACCAACAAACTTTAAAACAACACTTTGTTAAAAGAAGAAGGCAACGTGCATGCTGACAAGCTAAACTCAAACAATGTCCTATTAATGAAGCGCGATTTTCGCTGATTTTATCTAGTGTGCGCTCTCAAAAAGTAAAATTACCGGAATCAACGCCACTATGCAACGTAAGTAAAATGCAAACGCAGCTATTGTAATGCTACAAGAAAGTTGGCTGCATCCTGATGTGGACCATGAGGATATTCAACTCGATAGTAACGGGTCATGAGGTCCGATCGCCCTGGAATGCCTCATACTCGAGGAGGAGGCGTTATCACCTATGCCAACCAATCATTGTGTAATGCGGCTACTTTGCGCTCTGTATACTCAACATCAAATTTAATTGTCATTTAACCGATTGTAAACCGAAATTGCTGTGTGGATTGCTTTCCGTCGACATCAGAAACATCTATATTGCCCCCGACACACCGTCAAATGAGCTCAAAAACTTTGTGTTACTGCCTAGAATTGACTTCTCTGTCTCTATCGTCACCGGTGACTTTTACATTTGATGCAGCGTTTATGAAGACACCTGATCTACAAACTA